ACAAGCTGAATAGTCCATAATTCCTAGTTACTGTATGATTGAAGTATGTGCCTCTAGCATCTCATATTTATTTTGCTGTTATAGTAATAAAGAAAGGAAATAGTTGTGGTCTCAAAGCTACATAGCACAACCATTCCCAAATGTGTGTGGACAATGAGAATAATCATATCAGTGTTAATGCAGTACCCATGGAAAGCTGGTCATTACTCGCAAGTAATTTTTCTAGGTATGATTTTTTGCCATCCTATGGATCCATTTCTTTAACTTTCTCTTAAGTCACACTCTAAAATTATAACAGGCCCTACGTGCATTCACAGAAGTTGTAAAGATGCACCTGATAGCATATTTGACAATATTCCTTAGAAGTATTAACTGTGCTTTACTAAAAATGACATGTATATTTAATTATTAAGTTACATTAATATGAATTAAAAATAATGTGGCTAAATCCTTAAACTAGCTTTGAAAAATCCCACTCAAATCCATAAATATCTGTATGCATATCTGTATATGGGTGTGTGTATTTTTATCTCAGTAACAATTTCACATTTTTGTCATTTACAGTTATTTGTAGCTTCTCCAACATATTAGACATAAAAATAATCAGATATCTAATATTGAAGTGGGAGGATGGGAGTGGACCTGCCATATTTTCTACAACACTCCCATAATCAGATGTTTTGAATTGCGTAACTGGACAGTGCAAAGGATGGTGTCACTCAAAAAGTTGCTGTGTAGGATATATGAGAGACAGAGTTAAGCCATAAGTAAACACTACTGTTTTACCAAGCAGGCTGACCTGAAGTAGTTACTTGCTTAGTTACTACTCAAGAAGAGAGGAGATTTTTGTCTCTAGTGGGTTATGGAATAGAGAAAATCCCACACAATTTACTGATTCGTTTTGATGCACTGGCTGGGGGAGTAGTTAGCTGATTGCACGATTTTCACAATGATTACACACTTAATTTATACAACACAATTTTATTTTAAAACTCTTTGCTACGTATATAACACTGCTTAGCTTTAAGAAACACCACAAACATTAAAAACACAATAATTACATATATCAGAAACAATGCTCCAAATGCACTTCCTTCCCAAACAATGCTATAAGAATTAGTGTTACAAAAACAACTACAATTACAACTAAAAGTTAAACTTGAATCAATACTGTTATTTTTCATAATATACTTACAATCCTAGAATTCCGAGAAGCCAAATACCAAAATATGGTTTCATTCCTCAGTAGTACGATTTAATGGGTTGGCCTCAGTAGTACGGTTCAATAGGCTGGCCTCAGCAATACGATTCAATGAGCTGGGCTCACCAGTGATAGGACTACGTCCCCTTCCTTCAGTCCCTTTCGGGCGCTCCGCGGCTTCAGCGTGAACTAAGAGATTCGTGTTCACGGAGAGGCTTGATTAGGCGATCAATCTAATCAGAACTTACACTTGCGATTCTTCCTTCGTTGTTCTGCAAGTGAAGTCACCTCCAAATTGGGACAGTAAGTTACAGGTTTTTATTGAGTGAGCTGCCGTCATCGGGCTCCTCCTACTCAATTCATTATAACTCCCAAATTTGGGCTCGGATCTTACTCAACAGAAATTACCTTTGTTGAGCATTTTTAAATTATTCTTGGGGAGACTTCCATATCACTGTAAATACTCTTTTCTTTTTACCAGTCTGGTTAAAAGGCCCCAGGCTTTGATTTCTCGGAATTTAGGACATTTACTTTCTTTGTAAAAACCTTCTAAAGGTACAATTTAGATTAAGGTTTTAGGCGAAGTCAGGACATTTCGCACGTAGCTCCAAAACAATGAGCTAGATAAGGAGATAGATCCTATCTTCTTCCTGAAACTGGCTAATGGGCAACCTTTACAAACATTCAAACTATTTCATTCAATATGACAATTTTCTTTTCCCATTTATCAGATAGTTAAAATACATTTTTCCAGTGGGTATCCATCAGTGAGCCAGAATTAAAACTCAGAGTGCAACAGAGAAGTGAAGCATTTCAGAGACAGACATTACAGGAGTCCTAAAACAGCAGAAACCTAATTGAGGTGAGTGATTTGTTTTTCTCTTGCTTACACTATTTTTTCAGGAATAATTTATCTTTTTAAAGGACCGAGTTTGCAAACAGTCTCTAGATTTAAAGATGTTGAATCAAATACAGTGCTTCTCCATTGTTTTTTGCTCGTTAGAAACATTAAAAAAATATCTGAGTTTCTGCACTTAAGAACAGATAATTCACTAAGAGCAGTAGCCTTTGCAGCATTAAATAATTATTAGGGCTATCCGATATTTGTTCATGATCCTAGTAAGTTAGAACTATGTTACTTCCCAACTGTGATTTGTTCTTTGTCCTTGAAAAGCCTTCTCACCCTTGCATCTTTGTGACTGTACATCCTTTGTGCTACATTACATTTTATGAGATGCTAAAAAAAAATAAATGAAAGAATTGATGGTGCCATTAAAACTCATTTGCCTAAATAGGTCTATTGCCTTTCAATAGACCTATTTTATTCACTATTGGCCAACCCAGAATCTTTAATTTGCATGAAAATGGTCCCCTTTGTTCTTTCCTCATCACTATAAACAAAACCATGTCTCTCCCCTTCAAAAAAGAAAATTCCCATGACTTGTGTTGCATATGAATTTGTTTCATTCCCCTGTATAATAGCCTTGGCACATTGCCACCTTCACTGAAATACGGAATAAAAGTCCCAAAGTCTCATTAACTGACCCTGCTGTATTGAAGAAGCATAGATGACATGGAAAAGTAAAAGACAACTTCCCAGTGGTGAGAGAAGAGTAAGAAAAAACCAAATGAGGAACAAAAGTTGTCATCAACTTTGTTTCAGACTGTCATAACATTATATGCACACATCTCCAAAAATCGCATTGGTGAAATAATAGCAGCACTTTAATAGGTTTCATGAAACTGGTTTATGAAATGCTATTTATGGGTCCAGCATCCCAGTTCTTATATCTGAGCACGTAATGTAAAAAAGTAGATGAAATAAATGGAAATGGAAGTTATAGAAGATTAAGACACATTTTTGTTCTATACAAAGAAAAGAAAGACCCAAAATGGACTTTTCTAAGAAAAATGGTCTGGATGAGGATAAAATATGCTGTACTCAATAATTTTTAGTGTTCAGTTCTGCTCTCAGATATATTTGGAAAACAAGGTTTTTGGATAGGATCTTTTATCAACCGCTTGTTTCTCTTATGTTCTCTGGATCCTCATGGCTACAACCCCCCAGCCATACTATTTAGATATATTCACTATGTTTTCTAGGGTGTCAAATAATAACAAATCCTGTGTGTCTGGATATCCTGTGCTAAACCTGACAGAGATTTCTAAGTATGGGCTGAACTCCCTTTGATTCCAAGTAATATGACAAAAAATAGGAGCATAGGAGATTGCTACATTTTTTAAAATCCTTTTCTTATTAATGTTTGCTTACACAAAATATAGGTTGGATCCTCATCCGTTCTAAGTGCACATTTGGCACTGGAGGGGAGGGTGGTCATAAGCCATGTTACTCTTTTGTTGAGCCTGGAAAGACTAAACTAGTATTCTAAGCACATATTAGGGCAGCCAAGGAGCTGCTCTAACTTATGCTGACTAAAGCACCTCAGGGACAAATCATTCTTCACCAGCCTAGGACTGCCAGAACACATTGCATTCTGATGTGCTCCAATGTGGCTCCTGCACTGAGGAGATGGGGGAACAGATGGTATGCATGTGGCTACACTGGTGTTATACCAGATGGTGTTAACAAGGAGGACTTCTCAGCTTCCTGGGTAAAGCAGCTTTATTTCCCCTTTGGACTGCTGAAGCACTGGAAAGGGGGGAACTTAAGCAGGGCTAAGGACATCACCCTAGAATTCTCTTCCTTACAATAACCAGATTTGGTATAGCACCTACAGACACATATGTACAGTGGTGCCATCATAAGCAAAACCCTCAATAGATTTGCACTACAACAAGACCTATACTTACCCACCCAGGTTTTATAGAAGAAAAAAGGAAGAAAAATGTCTTTCCACAAGGCTCATCTATTGATGATTCAGAGAAGGGGAAAATTATTAAGTGGCAAGAAGTATATAAATCCTGAGGTCCTTAGCTGTTTTCTTAGGCAAAATTCCCATTATATATTACCTGGGTAAAGAGTTGGAAACAAATAAAAACTTCCAGATTTATCCCAGTATTAACTAGAGGGTTGGGCACTTTCTTACATCCATAGGTGAAATGCATAGCAAACAGCAGGGGCTCCTTGCATTCCTTTATTCCTCCCCAGAAGTTTTCTGACTCCTGTTTCAGGGATTCCTTGCAACTCCACTGGACTTTTCTCTCCCATGCCAGGGACTGTGCATGTCCTACACCTCCATGCCCCAATACAAGAGTCTTGCCATTATTATATTTTCCCCCCTCTCCTTTATGGGGTATGAACATGTTAACTACTTTGGGAAGATGGGCAGAGCCTCAGCTTTAATAGCACTTTTCATCAGTAGATCCTAAAGTACTTATGAAGAAGTTACCTTCAGTAAGTCACTTTACATCTCATTCCAAACTATAAAATGTGAAAAAATGTTAACTGCTTTGTATAGTACTTTTAGCTATACTAATGAAAAGTGCTAAGTATGGCTTATGCCTGAGTTTTGTAACAACAATAACAATTGATGTTGCTCCATGGAATTCATTTGCAGCTGCTTTCCTCATTTTACAGATCAGAGAACTGAGGCACAGAAGAGTGATTTCCTCAAAACAACCGAGCAAACCAATGGCAAAGCCAAAAATAGACTCTCTAGGTCAGGGTTGGGCAAAATGCGGCCCGGGGGCCAGATGTGACCCACCAGGCTGCTCTATGTGGCCCGCAGGGCCCCTAAAAAATTTAGAAAATTAATATTACTCTGCCCTGGGCTGCCTGTCATGCGGCCCTCGATGGCTTGCCGAAACAGAGGGCAGTAAGCAGCCCTCTGCCCAAAATAATTGCCCGCCCCTGCTCTAGGTCTTCTTGAAGCCATGTTTGTGTTCTGTCTAATAGCTTACACTACCTGTCAGCTGGGGATCTGTCTCTCTGACAGGTAAAACAAAAAGAAGAAAAACACTTTACTGACTGTAAATAAGTATAGAGTATATGATTTAATTCACAGCACTGGAAAATATTCCCGTTAACTTTCTAAAAACTTCCCTGTTTGTTTAACATTATTTTCTATGAACCAAAATGCTCATCAATAAAGATTCTGTTCAAAACCCACACTCCCATTGCATAACAAAAAGCATGCAACTGTGAGGTTCGTTTCCATTCACTAGCAACCTCATCTGTTGCAGACACTGACCAAAATGATTCATTCATATATGTAACATTTATTTTTGGTGGAATGTTGGGCTTATAAAGAGAGCTGATACTTCAAAACAGCTCCAGAGAGCTGGAAATATTTCATCTGGGAGGGTACTGAAAAAAACAGTGTTATTAAAAGGAAGGCAGTAGCGAAGCAAAGCAGATGGAAACAGCCAAGTAATTTTGATCTTTATGCCTTCCTTCATTCTTCCTTCAGCTGCAGATCTCACATCCCAGTTTACAGTGTTTTTTCCCAACAGAGCAGAGGTACGTAGGTTTTTCTGTTATACTTTTTATTCATTTTTAAACTTTTCTCAACCTGAGAACTAATGCAGTAATAGTGAAACAATTTGCGTAGCTTAGTGGTACACACATTCACTAGAAAGGCTTCCAAAAGAGGGCCTGAATTTTATACTAAATGTATTTTTCACCACTCTGACACCATAAAAGGATGTGAATTAATTTTGATGATTTCCTAATAAAGTGCATCTATTTAATTTAAACCTGTGTGAGGAGCACTATGTAAACTGAGTGTAAATAAGAATCTGAATCAGGCAGAGTCTCAGTCTCTCTCAGTCTCTCTCTTTCTTTACTTGCATTTTGACTTTAACTAGATTTGTTTAGGAATTGCAATTTGCTCCAGATATAAATTAATTCCAACATCAGCATCTAATAGAAAGAAAATATTTCCTCCATATTTTGGGGGGAGGGGGTTATATTTTAAATTAAGCAGATTGCAACATTTCTATGAATCTCTTGAATTACCATGTAAACAAAAGGAAACAAAGATTTATAAAAATCAATAAGAATTCATTTTTCAAATGAAAAGCAACTATAATTATTGAACATTTATAGTAGTTTACACCATTCTGGGGAGAAAGGAGAATGAATGGGAGAGTATCAGGTAAAGAAAGAAAACACACATTTGGGGAAATTGTAGAGTACTATGCAGCCACCATGGATCAAATCCTGAAGGCTGGATTCACCTCAAGTCTTCAATGGACCTAATCATGTGCTTAAGTACCTTGTTCATTCAAGACATGAGAGATGAGATAATCAGAGTAGTTTGAATTTAAATATTGTTCACCTGTCTTGAAATGGGGAATTCAAAATCTTGATAATCTGGTCTATACCTATTAATCTAATGGGAATTTTTAGTCTACTGTTATAGTCCACGATTTCCCCTCCTCCACATAAACTGGGAGGAGTGGACAGAGCATTGCTCTAAGGCAATGATTCTCAACCTTTTTTGGACCAGGACCCATTTGTAAACATTGATGGCCAGTCCTGATTCCGTGTCCCTCACTCCTGATCTGCTGTCCCCAGCCCCCCAGTGTGTAGGTCAGTGGGATATGGGGGGCCCCCCAAGCAGCCCCTTTCAGGCTGGAACTCTGCCTGTCTGCAAGGGAAATGCCAAAGTTTCCCACGGTTTTCTCCTTTAAAGGAGAATCCATTTTTAAAGTTCATGGCCCTTTCATATATTTTTGCGACCCACTTCTGGGTTGTGACCCATGGGTTGAGAAATGCTGCTCTAAGGCACAAATGAGTGAGCTTAGAGCCCACTTATACTGTCTGAGAGGTTAAATGTATTCTGCACACTTGAAACCTCTGAATCGGGCAGGATTTTTCCTGAAGAACAAATCTTTGGGCTGGATCCTTATATGTAGACCATTGACGTTAACAAACATTTGAGTGTTGATCCAGTTTCAGGATTTTGCTGCAGATTTCTTGCTGCAGATTTCTGATGGAGGGATTAATCACTGCTGACAGGCCTAGAAGTTTAGATGTTATATGTAATATATATGTTTTTTTTAATTTAATTTTATTTTTTTATTTTTTTACTTTGTACTATTTCTTCTGGTCTGAGAATGTAGTAATTTCTGGGATGGTGTTAATTCACTGCCTATTTTAGGAAGCTGAAAGAGGTGAAGTTATAATTGTCCTTAATACTAAAACACTGGGTCTTGATGGATTCTCTTCTGACTATGCTAAACATGTTTCCACCTGGGTTTCTAGATCTATTATTAGATTCTCATTTTCACTGAATTATCAGGGATATTTGGAAACTCTAGCCAGTGCTGTCCTAGTATTTACACAGGCCATTATTTTGTAGTAAGTGTTTGATATAGGCTTATTTATTTATTTTACAGCATGGAATCTGTTCCAACATCTGCTTGGCCATGTGTCTCCAGCAGATGGATGCCTCACTATTGCTTACTGTCTCTGATAGCTTCTGATTGAATTAAAAACAAAATGCTGACAGATTCACCAGAGTGCCAAGCTAGATTAGGACTCTTGGTTCCAAAATGATACCAACTGGTCTAATAAAAGGTATCATTTTGGAACCAAGAGTTCTAGTGTTTTGTATGTCTTTTTGTCTGAGACCAACACAGCTACCAAGTACACCCCTGAAGCTAGATTAGGGCCATCCTATGTGCATGTGTGCACAGGGTGAGGGCAACACCTTCATCTGCAAGACCCTGCCATGTCCCAGAAAGGGAGGTTGTCATGATTTGGCTGAGGAGAGCCAGTGGACATCTGGGCTAGGAAGGGCCATGGTATGCAGGTACAGCTGTGTACATTTGTTACAGTTCTGGAACCAAAAAGGAGGAGGGCCACTGTGGTGTTCATCAACTCAGCCATTTCTACACACTTCCTACCCTTGGCCCTAGTCCCAACAGCCCCCTAGGCAGGGGATTGTGAGCAGGAGAGAACAACAAAGCCCCACATCAACCTTGTACTGTCCCAGTAGTGAGGCTTTCTCCTTTGGTTTGCTATAGGTTCTTTACCCCCAATGCAGAGGCAATAATCTGACCCCATCAATTTACTATATAAACATAATTAAACAAATCAAGGATAGTTGTTACTTTTCTCTACTGATGATGCATGAAGGTGAACACTGGTTGTTGCAGCTCAGGCTTACAGAGCCAACTTAGCTGCAGGTGGATTTAGAAAGGTTAGTACTGCAGACTTTCTATCCTCATTGGACCCAGAAGGCCTTTCAACTCACCTGCATTCTACCTTCATTCTCTGCTCCAGTTGGCTTCTTTCTACTCCTGCTTCCCTCCTTTCTCTATCACTTATTGCTCCTGCACTATCTATCCACCTGCATTCCCACTTAGCTCTTGGTCACACCTATCTATTCCCCATTCTCAGAATCTGGCTATTTCCCCAGCAGTGGCAGATGTGTGCAGAGGCAAGACTCACAGGCTGCCCTCATACATTTTTACAGGGGAGGAAGCATACAGAAAAAAACAAATGTTTCTTCTGCTTGGGGACCTATGCGCCCCATTGTGGGTGCCTGACCAGAGCAGCAAACTGGGGGTTTGTACGCATGAGAGAATCGGAATCAAGTACTGACCTCTTGTTTTGTCCCACAGGCTAGTGTTGGTTTCCTTATTTTGGCTTGGACTCCTCTCCTGTTCCATCAGGCAAATTAACACAAGTAAGTTAAATCCAAGGTACTTGAAAGACATCTGGACAGCACACATGCACAGAGACAAAGGGAACAGCGGTGTGTGATTGGGAGCAGTCTCCTAGTTCTCTTCCTGTCCACTGCACTTGTCTAAAATATCCATGTGAGAGAGAGGAGAAACAACCAGTCTGACAAGGCAAAAATATGAAACTTTGCTGTTTAATTTACAGGAGTCTTGAGCTTCTAGAAGCATCTCAGAAGATTTTCTGAGACTTCAGGCAATTGATAGCAACTTACACTTTGCTCTGTCCCTCTTCGCTATCTCGCCACTTTTCTTATCTTGTTACTTTTTTTTCTTTTTATCACTCCTTCCTTCAAAATCTTCCCTTCTTCCTCTTCTCTCCAATCCTACTGCCCTCCTTACTACTCTAACTTCTCTGAGGATGTATTTTAAATGGGTAGCACTATGAAGGTTATCCAGCACCCTTCTGTGAGATGGAACAATTGGTCTAGTGAACACCTGAGTTCTATCCCCAACCCTGCCTTAGAACCAGATGTGTGATCTTGGACAAATGCCCTTTTAGTTTCTGGTTCCCTTCCCTCCATTTGTCTGATCTTTTTTAGTGGCAGAGCAGGAACTGTCTCTTACCAAGTGTAAGTACAATGCCCAGAAGCATCAGTAGGATAATAATTTGCACACCACTGTCTCCTTTCTTCTAATGAACTCAGCTGCATGTAACCTGATTTAAGTATAATTATCCTGCAAAGTGTTGAGGGCCTAACTCCCACCCAGTTTATTCAATACTTTACAGGCTCAAGCCCTAAGAGAGGGATGAAGTTAGGTGCCAAAGATCACATAGGAAGCCTGCAACTGAAACAAGAAGAAAGTCCAGATTTCCTGGCTCCCATGTCAGGCTAAATTTGAGGAATAAGTACAACTGATGCAGACAATTGGAAATCGGCACTAATACAGTGGATATCCTCAATCCCTGTACAGTACATAGACCTCAGATAGAAGCACCTTGTGCCCTTTCTAGTAATGGCAGTATATGTATGCTGTGAAAGCACCTGTTCATTAACACAAGAGCTGTAGTACTTGTCCTGTTCTAACACTGCCCAGAAAAATAATTGCAAAGCAAGAAGAATATATTCTATACATGTTTCCCAGTGACACGAAAATTTTTCCTTCATAGTAAGCGTGACCAGAAATAGAGACAAGTAGCTCATTACCACAGCAGTTAACTTATTGTGAATCTCAGGTGCTGAAAAATATGAAATGTAGTTTCTGCAGCGAAGGAGGGGAGGTATTTTGGCTGTGAGCCAAAGGAGGGATTGCTCAGATTCTGGAATTAATGCAATCGTGGCACTTGCAGTAATACTTCATTAATGTATGTGTGTCCACATGATAAAATGTGTACATTCATTAGGGCGTTGATGACAAGGGAGTGGATTAGTCAGATGTATGACACAACACATCTGCTCTACATGATTGACTGTTGATATGTAGGGTGGGGAGATGATGTCAGTGTGAATGCAGATTTATGTCTCTCTAATCGAAGATTACCAGATCTGAATTTACTACCATCCATAATATGCAGCTGCTGTCCAGGCAGGTCCTATCTGGTTCCATAAGAAGAAAGAGAGAGAATGAGGAGTGGTAGAGGAGGGCAGGACAGGGAAGGACAGGACAGGGCAGGGCAGGGCAGAATCTCCTCCCAGGATGTACATGGTCTTCAAAGAGGGATGTTGTGGCTTCTTCATTCTGTCACAAATGAAGGGTTAGTGCTACACTGGAAAAGGAAGCATGTTTTTATGGTTAGGGCTTGGGGTTGCAACTCTTTAAATTCAATACTTGATTCTGTCACAGACTTCTTAGGTGAACTAGTCTTTTCATCCTACTGTGCCTCAGTTCCCTATTTGTTAATTGAGGGCAATGATACTTCCTTTGTAAATTCAAATTCCCAGATAGTTGTGAGGTATTTGGAAAGGGCACATAAATAACAAATACTGAATAGTACTGCTGCTACCTTTATGCTATATTTCAGATTGCAGTGATACCTTTTCCCTCCTGTTCATCCTCTCTTGCAGGAGTTCTCAAACTTTTTTGTTTATAACATAGGCTCCTTTTTGACACAGGGAGCATCTCGTGGACATCTCCCCTTCTGTTAACTATACTAATCACTTGGCTTATTTGTGTACACATAACAGTGAACATGTAACAGACTTGTTGCAACAACAGCAATTGGTCACATACCAGGAGTATTAGGAACATGTTTTTAGGTTTTACCCCTTTAACAGCTGGAAGCAAGGAGGAGCCAATGATATGTGATGACAAACACAGCAGTATTCCACACTGAGAAATCTGAGAGCTTCTGCTTTATTGTATCTTGTTTTGAACCTAAATGTATCTGTGCTTGGGGCCTACAGAAAGAAGAATCATTCTGATAATGTCCAGATTATGTATGCAGGGGTTTAGGTTATAGCCGTGTTGGTCTAAGGACATAGGCAGACAAGGTTCCTTGGGTGAATTTGATATCTTTTATTAGACCAACCCAAATAGTTGGAGAATATTTATTAAGCAAGCTTTCGGTTCAAAAATCCTTCGTCAGGCTAAGCAAGTTTCAGCAGTTGGTGCGCGCTCTTCCTGGATGGAATAAAAAGTAAAGAAGCCAGGGGCTGGGCTGGGGAGTCAGTTGCCAGGCAGATTATAATGTATCAAAAATCCAATGTCTATGTTTAGTCCGTGATCTCTAGTATCCAGGAGGTTGATGAAATGGAGCTCATAGGCTCGTCTCTGGGGAGAGAGATGGACCATGTGGGTTCCATCCCAGATAGCTGGAATAAGCTAACTGTATAATGAAATTGGGCTCAAATCTATTTGGTGTTAGGAAAACTTTGATTCCTTAAGAAAACTTCTAACTGGAGAAAAGTGAACTGAAATTATGATAATGCTGTGTGTCATCTACTATTGATAGCCTTAGTCTGATTTCACTCTGGATTTCACTCTGGAGCTGCTCTATTGACCCAGGAGGGTCCCTAGATCAAGCAGGATGTTTGTAGCATAGTCAGGAACAGCTCTACCTGCACAGATGTTCTAGTCCCATTTCATAATTACAGGACCATCATTAGCATGTCAGAGGGCAAAAGCACTAAGTAAAAACAAAAGACAACCTCTGAGAAATATAAGTGACTTCTTAAATGTCTTATTTACATGACAGACAAGGTTCTTCAGGCACAGGGAGAGTTTGTAATTTCTGTGTTCTCTCCTGGGTAGAGTGGAAGCCAGTATGCAGAATGCTGGTCTTTGAAAATGCAACTGCATGGCAGCCCGGAACAGAGGTGCTGTGAGACAATAGTTGAGAAAGGTAGGAGTGGGAGGAAAAGGGGGAAGGGTGTGGCTGTTAAAATGCAGACTGGTTACCTGGGGTTATCAGATGGCAGGCAGGTTATAATGTGCCATATAGCCAATGTCTATACTTAGTCCATGATTTTTTGTGTCCAGTAGGTTGATACAGTGAAGTTCATAGGCTTGTCTGTGAAAGGTATTTTGTAAACTCCCTTTGAGGATTTAAACTGAGAGATTGGAGAGAGAATACTTTTCTTGTGAGAAGTGTGCGCCCACAGGTAGTTGTATATTTTTGTCTTTGATAGGTTTTTGATATGTGTTCACTCTGGTACACAGTTGTTATTTGATTTCTCCTACATATTTTCCATCTGGGCACTGAATGAGATGTATTATATTTCTGAAGGTGCAGGTGTAAGATCCAGGAATGGTGATGGTTCTATTGTAGGGTATAGTAATTGTGGGGGTGGTGGAAATGTGTTGGCAGGTTTTACATTTCTTGGCATGGCATGGTCTAGATCCAGTCGGTGTGCTTTGGGCCAAGTGCAAAGTTTACTTCTGATGATGAGGTTGGCAAGGTTCGGTGCTTGTTTAAAGGCTAGGATGGGTAGTTCTGGAAAGATCTCTTTAAGAATTGGGTCCTCTTTTAGTATGGGTTGCAGTTTTTTTAGAATTTTCTGTATAGGTTCCAGGGAAGAATGGTATGTCATAACTAATGGTGTGCAATTCTGGGGATTTTCTTTTTGTACTGCAGCAATTCTTCATATGGTATCCAGGTGACTCTTTGAAAAGTACAATCTATCTCTCTGTAGGAGTGTTCTTGTTGGGTGAAAGCCCTTTTGAGATTTACGAGGTGACGATCATGGGTATTCTCCACAATGCTAATTCGGTGGTATCAGAGGGTTGGCTGCACATTACAGCTTTTTTGGTATGTTTAGAGTGATTGCTGGTTTTGTGCAGATATGTATATCAGTTCATGGGTTTCTTGTATATGGTGGTTTGTATTTTACCATTCTGGATATTGATCTTAGTGTCTAAAAAGGAAATTTTGATGCTGGAGTATTCAAGAGAGAGTCTGATAGAGGGGTGATGGTTATTGAATATGTGATGGAAGTCAATCAGACAGCAGGTTTTCAGTCCAAATGATGAAGATGTCATCTATGTGTTTTAGCTATAGCATGGGTTTGATGGTGAAGTTCTTGAGGAATTCTTCTTCCAGGTGGGCCATAGAAATGTTGGCATATTGTGAGGCCGTTTTGGTGCCTATAGGTGTGCCCATGGTCTGGAAGAGGTATTGATTGTTAAAACAGAAGTTGCTGCATGTGATGGTGAAGTATATAAGTTCAGTAAGGTTCTTTGGGTAGACGTGATGTCTTTTATTAGACCAACTAAAGAGCTGGAAAAAAGTTCTTTGCAAGCTTTCAGGTACAAACACCCTTCTTCAGGCATTGGGAGACTCTGCTGCTGTTATGAGTTCTCCAAGGTAGAAAAGAAGCTAAAGTAAGCAAGAAGTCTGTGAAGATACAAATGAGCATTTGCACCTGAAGAAAGGTATTTGTGCCTGAGAGCTTGCAGATAACTTTTTTCCAACTCTTTCATTAGTCTTATAAAAGATATCACATCTACCCAAAGAACTTTGCCTGCCTATGTCCTTAGACCAACATGGCTACAACCAACAACCCTAAGT